TTAGATGATGATGTATTCAAAACAAATCACAGAACAAAGCTAGCAGCCAAATGATAAAAGTTGAGTACGATGTGAATGTGATAGTGTACAAAGTTCACTGAGTCAAGAAGATGAGGGGGATATCACGCAGTGAAGGATTTAGCAGAGACATATCGAACAAACCAAAATGTGCGCGACAAATACTCGAAAACAAACCAATAGAGATTTTGCTGGGGTGTAAGGGGCCAGGAATTTTCGAAGGGGGGGTGGGTTTCGCGCGAGACAAAAGATATCGAGACGGGGGATAAGGTACGATAGGTGAGGAAAGGGTTGGGTGTATATGACAGGCCCAGCAGGGGCTGTTCAAATTGGGATGCATGCCATAGGGTGGAGGAGACGTTGGGATCGAGAAATTCAAACCAAGGAATCGGAAAGGCATGAACTCGCTGAGTTGAGTTGATGTAAAATGGAGACCATGGATCAGGATTGGGGGTGATATTCGGAAGTGCTGATTGCCGGTCGAGTCTAGAGATAGAGAGGCCGAAAGAGATGTCCTACCGGGGTTTTCTTGCTGAGTTGCTATCTTCAATAACAGTCTGGTCAACATGCTGGGCCCATTGCCGTTGTTGTTGAGGACGATAACGGCCGCTCGCTGGGAGCTGGGCTATAGCGATAGAGATTCGGCTCTTCAACATGAATAGCCGGACGAACATCGTGTTCGTCAATTACATTCACTGTGATAGGCGATAAGGGACTATCTTCATGCTGGGTGCCTGAGGCGACGAGGTGATGGAGGTTTGACGAATGTCCAAGCATAGATGTCAACGAGCGATGACCAGGAGTAGCCAGCCACTCGACCGAGTCTGCTTCAGATTCACCTTCGACATCATCATCCATTGTGGGTACAGTGGAGAGATCGTCGTCGTCTTCAGGTAACGGATGATAAAAAGGTTCCAAATGGTCCAATACAGTGGAATCGTTGGCGGGGATCGGTGGAGGAGCACTAATAGGCTCTTCTGCATCTGTGGAGTGGAGCCACGGGAGAGATTCCGGATCGAGATAGAGTTCTTCATCGTCCTCATCCTCAAACGTCTGACTCGAGTTGGCGGGACCTTGTTCGGCCTCGTTCTCATACTCGTCGTCGTCGCTTAGGTCATCCAAGAGAGAATCGAGCCATTTGGCTTCTGCGTCAGCATCTGCCTGGCTATAAGCACGTGATGATGTTATAGATGTGGCGTCAGGGAAAACAAAGTCGTCTTCGTCAGCCTTGGACGAGGTCGCCGAAGGCTCAGGGTCGGACTGCGACAAACACGGCCGCTGCTGTGGAGACGGTAGGGTCGGGGAGGAAGGTGGCGACAACGCTGGGAGCGACTGAGCTTCAGCAAGGGCAAGGTCTACCCGCGAGAGCGAATTCCGCAAGAGCACTTTGCGAAGTAATTTGTCCGCGTCTCTGGGACGCTCACGATCGGGGGAGCCCACCGACTGCAACTTTCGTCGCGAGACGGCAGAAAGCCATGTCGTAGTATCGAGTGAATGGAACATGGCGGTGGATATGCACTGGGAGGGGCTATCTAGAAATCGGCTTTCGGGACTGTATGACGTGTTGAACGACGAGGAGGGGTGGGCTTGAAACCCTGGGAAATTGCTGATAAAATTATATAAAGTTGTTAGCTTTGATGGTCGTTGATATGCAACTGCTGCCTCTCGAAGGGTGGCTTTGGCGGACTGAGGCCCGGGGAGGTTGAGGCGGGGGACCTGCAACAGCAACGATAAGACAGGGTTTAGTGCTCAGATAATATTGTAACCAAGTCCAAGATAGCAGAGCCAGTAAAGGAGTGGCAAGCGCTTTTGCGTCTGCTGGGACCGCTGGGTTTTGCGGTCTCTTGCGGTCTCTTCTCATGTCGTCTGACTGAAGAGAGCAATGGTGACCTAAGGCCACGCCATCGACAGAAAACGCTAGAAAGAGGACGAATGGGGGATTCTACTCACAGGTATAGGAGGCTAGGGTTTAGTTTCGTATGCGGTCTACCACGAACGGTTCGAAGAGTTGGGAGGTTGCGGCAGTTGGGTCTTTCCGGACCATTATCTGCAAGATGTAGTTGCACTCTTTGATGCAGACAAAGACTATGGTGGATTTATAGATGCACTTTAGACGCTCATGCTTTGGGGCTCTGACTGGGATAAAAGTGGGATGTGGTAAGGGAGAAGGGATGACTTTGATTTTTCGACGTTGAGCCTTTTGTAGTGGCCAGAGTCAGCACTTCATCCGAGGGCCGACCCCTTTTCGACTGAGTACGATAAATGTCGACGAATTGCGACTTCTATTTCGCCATTCAACTCATCCATTATTCTGCCCTTTTCTCTCTCTATCGTCCTTATCTCTGCGCTCTCCGTCTCCCTGGATTCACCCAGCTTTTACCCTTCTATCGATCCCTCCATGCTCACATCAATCACACTCTCACTCGCACCCTCTACACTCGCCTCCCCGTTCCCGCTACCTATCAGAGATCGTCCTCCAGCACCAGTAGCCCGGCTCCGCGAGCTCATCGTCTCCTCCACTAATTTCGCTATCTTGGGGGCATTCCGTGGATCGAGATCCCGCGCGACCGCAAGCACCTGGTTCGCAAGAGTCGTTTTTCCCTGCAGGCGATATACCCTTCCTAGCAGTAATACCACGTTTGGCTCACTCGGTGAAAGATCGCATAGTCGCACCAAATCCTGTTCGGCCGCCTTGAGTGTTATTTTGAAGTGTATGCCAAATTTTTCGAGTGAATGGGAACGACAAAGCATGTCAGCCACGCTTCTCCTGACTAATTCAACATGAACCCGTCCGGCAACCCACACATCACCACTTCGGACGGGGTTCGCCATTGTGGAACTCACCAAAAATTCGCCCCGTTGTACGAGAATTTTAGCTCTCCTATATCGTACCAGAGGGTTCTAGAATTCCTGCCGTGACATTATCCCTGATCTCGCCCTTGATCAGGTCCAATCCGTATCGCATACCGGCCTTCTTTGGATCACCCTTGGGGGCCGTTTGAGAAAGATAGTGGCACGATCGGAGTTTTCCGACTAGCTCGGTCGAATCTTTGGCGGCATTTACGGCGAGAGTTTTTGGGATGATCAAGAGAGCGTTTGCAAATTCAGCAATGGCCAACTGTTCTCTCGAGCCCTGTGCAGAACAAAGGTCAGCGATGACTAGTGAAAATATTTGTACCTTGAAACTTACCAAACTTGTTGCAAAGTTTTCTAGATAGACGCTCAAGGCGGTTTCTACGGCGCCTCCACCAGGGACGACAGAGCCACTCTCAAGGGTTCGCTTGATGATAGATAAGGAATCGTGTAAGGCTCTCTCCATCTCATCCAACATATAGTCGTTTGCTCCTCTCAAGATGATCGAGGATGAGTTTACCGTCTTGGTTCCCTTGATCAAGATCAACTCGTCATCCGAAATACGCTCTTGCACAACCTCTTCTGCGAGACCAAGGTTGGTAGCTTCGTAGGTCTCTTCTCCCTCCAAGTTTGTCAAGCTCGCGACGATGGTACCGCCGGTGGCTTTAGCAATGTGCTTGAGGTCCTCCTTTCGACAACGTCGGACAGCCATTGCGCCTGCTTCAACAAATTCCTTCAAGCATAGATCGTCAATTCCTTTGGTCGTCAAAACCACATTGGCACCCGCTGCCAAGATCTTTTTGACACGCTCAAGGACGATCTCGGACTCCCTAGGATCAGGTTAGCACACATTCTTAGAGGTCAAAGGGGCTTGTGTACCTCTTTCTCATTAACTCGAGCTGCTCGGGATCATCTGCTTGTAGTTGTATACCCAAGTGCATACGCTGTTTCCGGAGGTCAAGGTCGAGCAATGCAATCTTGGCATTGACAATCCTCGTCTTCATAGCTATTAAGAGCATTTAGTTTGATCTGTATGAGATAATACGCATGAATTACCTTGACTAGCGACTGTGCAATTCAGTGCATAGCCCTTTACATAGAGGGACTCTCTTGCACTCTTGCCGTGTGCCTTCAAAACGTTTACCGCTTTGACTGGATAACGGATGTCTCCTCTTGCTGTTATTGTTTTGACAGCGAGCATAGCATCGACTGCCATAGGAGCAAAGAAGTCATCATCGCTGATGGCTTAGTCAGAATATCTCTCGGATCCAACATCAAATCAAGCCAACCTTCCCAAGATCTTGCTCGACATACTTGTCTTTGCCACGTTGATTAATGTATCCCTTCCGAGAGCATCTACCTTGTGGCTCAATTGATCTACCAAGAATTTGCACGCCTCCTTGCACGCCAGGCGATAACCAGTGATAATTGTGGTCGGATGTATTTTCATCTTGACAAGATCGTTCGCACGTTTTAATAGCTCAGCAGCAATGATCACGACGGAGGTAGTTCCATCGCCGACCTCCTTGTCTTGCTTTTGTGCCAAATCAACAAAAATGCGTCCAGCTGGATGCTCTACATGCAATAGACCCAATATTGTTGCACCATCATTGGATATTGTGACTTCCTGTTTGGTAGTTGGCTTAGAATCAGGCGATTACTGTTCAGAAGATGGCCACACATACGCCGATGTTATCTACGAGCATCTTATCCAAACCAAGAGGTCCTAATGAACTCTTTACGATGTTTGATATCGATAGAGCAGCCGTGACTTTTGGATTGTACTTTCATTCAGCAAAGCGTCTTTACAAGATTGCGCCTCCAAAGGATATAGACTAACCATTCTGATCGCGAATCTCTTGTCCAGATACGCGATCTCCTCCCATGAAGACTCCGGCTCGTGGATCTCGTTGGAACATTTTTAGAGTGGTTGGCCAAGCTGTGTACGTGTGTGGCTAAAACACCCTGCGATCAGCCACTATCATGCTCCTGAAAAACGACCAGACGATCTACGCTTCGACTACAGAATCTGCAGTAAAAAGTACTTGCAGATCGTTTACAGGAAACTCCACTTTAGAAGCGCCTGAAAAATTCGAAGACACTTTTTTTTCGCCCGGTTAAACGCGATTTAGGACGCGCAAAACTGGTGCGGAAATAACACGAGCTCCAATGGGATTAAGATAATAAACTA